TGTGTTGCCATGTGCCAACAACACTGTTAGTAGTCGATACTCGACTTGTAGTATAACCTGACTTAACTATGGAGTATGCTATCTTTTTCCAAAAATGTTAGTAACTTTGTTGTTGAACTATATTCTCTCTCTCTCTCTCTTTTGCTATGAAGACTGAAGATGATGTAAATCAGTGTTTGTTTGTGGTTTTTTTACGATAGTTTAGTTTTAATGAAGCAAACACGAAAATGGAAAAGTAAGAAAATCAGTCAATTTTTTATTCATTGGTACACATATTTGTATATACATATACATAAAACATATTATACTTACAAAACTATATGGCACAAATATTATGTACAGTCGCGAAACTCGTATATCTTATTGTATTTACATATATATCTACGACTATATAATATTACATAATATATATTTATAATAGGCATTTTATATTTATGAAGTTTGTACATATCGTTAAAATATTTTTTCTTGTAGAACACGATTATATAATACTTTTTTAATATTCTCAAAATAATAATAATTACACATTTACAAGTAGGTAGTAAAATTACTTAAGCATAAAAATATTTAAGAAAAAAAAGTGTTTCGAAAGAGGCAGGAATTAAAATACATAAAAATAATAATAATTAATAATAATGGTGACTGCTCGGGGGACGGGGAATAATATTTTGGACTAGCACCGTTTGCGTCGGCCGGACCATATGATCGCGGTCGTTGTTGTCATTGCAGCCGTCAGACGTACTCTTCGGGAGATTTTGGCGACTGTCGGGACGACGATGTACCTTCGCCCGTTCTTGCGGCCACGGAGTCAGCGACCGACTGACCGCTACCGACGCCACTGCCGACACGGTGATGGTGATGGTGCAACCGGTGATCGTGATCGGCGTACGGCGACGACGGCGACGGCGGCTGCATGATTGGCCTCATACCGTTGTTGGACGGGGCCCAGTTGAGCAAGTAATCCCAGCCGAGCCCGACCGGTATGCTAGACGACTCTGACGGATTGTTGTTGGGCGTCCGGACGTTACGGTACATCGCAGGGCCGTCGTCGTCGGACGCCACCAGCGTGCTCAGTGAACCTCTGAACGAAGAGTCGAACGTGTCGTAACCCGCGGCCGCCTGCATTTGTTCCTGTTGCTGRTGCTGTTGCTGTTGCTGGTGTTGGGCCGCCATGACTGCAGCGTCGGACGACGAGGACGACGAGGGCGGCAGCTGGGACGGGAGCGGCAAACGGTGACGGCGCTGAGAGTCCCTGTCCGACGACCCGGACGCGCTCTTTCCACCGCTGCTGCCGATCTTGTTGAATATTACATCGCTCAGCTTCTCTCCCGACACGCTGTTGTTGTCGTACTCGATTTCCGAGCACGTGAACGAATCGTTGCCGCTCTCGTCCGACGACGTTGACGTACCGGTGTCGTCGTCATCGTCGTCGTTCTGCCGGTGATGTTGCTGCTGGTGCCGGCGGAGGTGCGCGTGGTCATCCACCATTATGTTGGACGGCCGTCCACCGCTGCCGCCTGTCCCGGACACCACGTCCACCGTGCTCCCCAGGCTGGGTGGTCGGCCGTGCTGCTGCTGTTGCTGTAGCTGCGACTGCGTTCGGCCGGCACTGCCCATGCCGCTTCCGACTCCGCCGCCACCGCCACTGTTGTTTCCGACCACGCCACCGCCACCGGACATGCCGCTGCCCGACAGGCTATGACCGCTCATCACCGGACTGTTCAAGCTCCGTTCACTGTTGCTGTGCAAAGGACAGTCTTTGTTCACCACGCCTGACGACGAGGTGGCCAACAGTGCCGTCTGAAGTGGCTTACCGCTTATGTCCTGCACACAAAAACAATGGATCAAGTTAATATCTACCRTTTTAGTTCACATCGTATAACATAATTCTACAGAAACAATAGATAATAGGTATACATAATAGACGTGCGRTAAAAAAGTTTTTGTTATAAGATGTAATCGTAAATAATAAATCATAACAATTAAGATTGATTAAAATATGTAGGTACAGTATGAAAAACCCCCAATAATTTTTTTTTTTAAAACACTAACTTTTGAGTCCAGTGTAACCGGGTCATTTGTAACCTGGACATGAACTCCTGTGATATTTAAACCCCCATCCCGAAGAAATTTAAAGTATTACTCTAATAAGTCTAATAAATTTACTTAGGAGTAAAATTTTTCTAAAGTAATGTGTGTCTGCATTTAAAATATCAGCTGTACCGTATTAAATACGAGTGAAAAATCGGTGCATCACTAACATTCATAGTTGTGAAATTTGAAATTTCAGCTTTGAATATATTTTGTTCACTGATATTTTACCTCTGATAAAATATATTATTTAGTAAAACTATTGACTTCCTAACATTTATATGGAAGATTTATTCACTATGAGCAAATTTTACCAAAGTTAAATATCTACCAGAAAAATATTGCCACAGTCACCCCCATCAAGGTCACCCACATGAAGAGGAGTATATTATAAATAATAATTTATTATATATTATTGTATTCTAAAAATTTCTAGTAAAATGATACACAATAATATTATAAATTAATTATATTATACAYTAATACACCTGAATAAGCACACTTTATTCTACTATAGGACACGTTATACTATTATATATTATATATCACTAATTCCTTTCAATATTTTATTGCGGTATATTATACGTATTGACTCTAGTATTATTTACGTCATTGCACTACTGCAACCACCATACAGATAAAATTGGTTTTGTTGGTTATAGTTACATATATACAGGGTGATTCTTTTATCAAACAACACTCATTATTTAAAAAAGTATTGACTTTTTTCAAAATATTTTTTTACATAGTTTCAAATTGTTAAAAAACCAAAGTTTTTATTRAAAAATTATATTGGCAGAGTGGAGTGGTACGGGGTTACCCCGCAAAATGTTTGTACACTACTCCGCTTGTCTAAACTTTAAATACTTTTAACTCATAAACTACTAGCCCTAAATTCGATTTTTATGAATCAAAATACTTAGAAAAATATTCTGCTTTGGAATATGAAATTAAAACTCTATCTTATTTGTCATTCAAAAAAGTAAAAAACTTAAAAATGATTAGGATAAAAAATATTTAAAAACATAATTTTTTAATAAAAAGTTGGTTTTTTAACAATTTGAAACCATGTAAAAAATATTTTGAAATAAGTCAATACTTTTTAAATAATGAGTGTTGTTTGATAAAAGAATCRCACTGTATATACATACAGTTTTTGCTAATTTTTAATGTCCAAATGTACATTAGTACCTATGATATAATGGCCCGACTATATATAYTTTTCTGGACGCATATTATTATAAGTGCGGTCTGCTGGTCTGCACGTAAAAAAATATGCATTTACACGGGCTAAAAAACACCACGCCACCGTAACGGATTTCAATTAATTATCTCGCCACTTACCTACTTCGTTTCACGTTCAACTATACTTATATAATAATATATGATAATGAGTGCAGCCAAACGCGTAATGCCATAGCGTGTAATAACTGCGATTTCCGAGCACAAGTTAGTTTTGCTACGTTTGTAATTCCAATACATTAGGTATCTGGTATATAATATCAGGTAATGTTATATTATTATTATTATTATTAAACGATAATATGTTATATACGTCTGTTGCCTGTTATGTGTGCAATTCGTTTCCATACGAGTACCGCACAAATCGGGCTTTGATAGATTTAAATAGTACCTACTTATATTATATTATCTTTTTTATTGCAATATACATATGTTATATATATATATATATATAATATACGTAAAACAACTAATATTATCTAAATAAAAAAAATCAGACCAAGTTCCAAAAAGTAAAAACAAATAAAGACAACATGTATTATTTGGTGGTTTTATCATTGTTTAAATATTTAGTATGCATTCTAAGTCCTGTTACCTATGGATCTTAAATCTTGCATTATTGTGACTCCATTATATTAACATGACGTAATATATGTATATATTATATTGGTAGGTATTTATATATACGCGCGCATAGATTTATAATATATAATAAGTAGGTAACATCACACAACCTGGAGTTTAACAAAGGTATTATTATATAATAATATTTAGAATTGTCGAAAGTCAATAAAATAGAATAAATTTTAAATTGTAACAACATAGCCGGTTACAATGATTGCATAACTGGTTTAGTGAATAAAAATCTATTTTACGTACGACTTTTATTATTTTTGAAACCAATAATTTAAATTATAAATGATCACTCATAGTAAAGTATACAAACCGATTATTGTGATTTATARTGAACATTTGTAGAGGTCAAAACCGTTAAAATTCTTAGTTTAAMATTTTCATRATTCAAATAATAATAATAAAAATAAATAGGTAAGTAGGTAGTTAGGAAGTTATATCTGTATCAATATTCAGAAGTTAATGAAAATCTACAAATCTACAAATATGAGATATGATTTGATTTTGAGGTTTCATTCAAGCCGCAAAATAAAACTCACCWAATAAGTTAATTATCATTGGGAACCTGTTTTGAAACTTTACATGGTCAGAAACACTTGTAATGATTTTCAAAGATAAATAGGTAATTACATACTTTTGATAGTACCTTATTTATTAGTATTAATATTTCTCTGTATCATAATTTACCAATAAATATCCAAAATTGAAAATTCTCAGTACTTGTTTTAATAACAATCAGGGAAAGAAAACAAATTGAGGAAAAACAAGAATTTTTATAATTTTTAATCGTTTATCGACAAAATAGTTATTGTTTTTTTTTTTTTGCTGTAGATCAAAAGTGGTTTCAAACATATTATCATTTTTGATTTTATGTAGTTGTTACTTCTTTACATGTCGATATTTTAGCTTGGTCAAAAAGTTGGAAAATTGAATTTAAGGTTGCCTTAAATTCAATTTTTTCGTTCATATTATAAAATTAAAAAAATATCAATAATGCAGTCACAGCATATTTTTTATAAGCGTTTAAAGTCAGAATTTTGACAAAATTTGTGCCACCAAAATTTGAATAATAATTTGAGTAAGAAATTCTTGAACAATTTTCTTTGTAAAATATATAAGTAGGTACTAAAAATTTAAAAAAAAGATTCCTCATTAAGTTTTTCTTCCTATAACAAACAAAGGTACTTGATCAAATGCTATTACCTATGAAAGCATTTTCATATGTTYCTAGTCCCTTATGGAACAAATCATAATTTTTTCAACGTCCRACTCTTTCACAAATCGTTTTTACAGTTTTATCTTTTAATTAATTGTTGGTTTACAGGGTTTAATATAGGTACCTAGTGTATTACGGCGCCGCGGAAGCAATGCGAAAGCAGATCCCGCGGCGTCGTCGGTTAAAACTGAAAAAAAAAGAAAAAAAAAAAGGTACCTAGTGTATTAGTGCGATGAAATTTCTGATGCGAATGTCGACCTATGACCAATTGTTATCACGAYGTCGTTTAAAAGTGCTTATTAGATGTGCAGAAGCGAAACGATTCACGATTACTTTCCTCTTACTCGGCTCTTAGTCCGAGACACGTGCCGTGCGTTTTCCGAGGATTACGCGCTAGACGGSSCGTCAAGGTAGGATGCACAAAGTCATCGCTTATATATTATTATTCACAGGTTTGTAATAGCCATAAATATCTGCATTCCGCGACCGTTTATATATATATAAATGAGATTTTATTGTAATTACATAATAATACTATATATTATTATACAAACAGTTACGGAAAATCTT